TAATGGGGTCACTCCTTGCTTACCCATAGCAGGTGCCCACAGGGGATGGCTCTTCCCCTTGTCCACAGGGAAGGGCCAAACTGTGTAACAAGGGGTGGCCCCGGGGCACAGTCCCCACGTGGCCACACTCACAGGTGCCTGCAGAATCACACCTGTGTGCCCCTGGATTCCTGCAAAGACATGCAGTGAGAAGATGTGTACAAACGTGAAGATGCATGTGCAGAGACCCAAACATGGGGGGTTAAGGGAACTGGTAGGAGTTGGGGCAGGACTGGTGTGGCTCCAAAGGGGGATCCCAACACAGGGAGCCTGCAGGAAACGGTGACCAGATGGATGTAGGCCAAGAGACACAAGTAGTGGGCTGGGGAGACCCGGGGTGGGAGCTGGCCTTGGATTCTGAGGAGTTGAGCCTTCTGGGCTGCAGGGAGCTGGTGGGCTGGAGAAGGGTGTTGGGGGATCTTTTTGGCATCACCTCTATGCGCCAGCTGTGTCTGGTGGTCCTCAGCTGTCTGACCCGGGGGTACCCGGCTGTGCCAAGGGCTCCCCTCTCCATAGGAGCACCCCGTGGTTGAGGGCATGCCCGAGTCGGGCCGACAGCCTCAGACAGGCTGTGCCGGGGGTACCACCCTGCGCTGGGGCCGGGGCAGGGACTGGTAAGGCGGGGTGGGAGGGTCCCCATCCCAACCGGGCGGACACCGGTCATCGACCGAGGGGGTCCCTCGACTCTGTCCTGGTCGGGCCGGGCCGGGCCGCGGCGCTCCGGAGCCGCCCCCCGCCGGGGGGGTCCCCGCTCCCCCCGGATGCATGACTTCATCCTTCCGCCCGGGTTTCCTCCCCGCCGCCGCCGCCGCCGCCGCAGACCGGCTCCCGGCTCGGCGCGGCGCGGCTCGGCCCGCTCGGCCCCGCCATGTCGCAGGTGCTTCCCTACGGCGAGGACAAGGTGGGCCGCTACGGCGCCGAGCCCGAGGCGGGGGAGCTGCCCTTCAGCTGCCGCCTGCAGGACACCAACGCCTTCTTCGCGGGCAACCAGGGCAAGCGGCCCCCCAAGCTGGGACAGATCGGCCGCGCCAAGAGAGGTACCGCCCGACCCCCACCTTTGCCCTCCCGACCCCCGCCTCAGCCCCACGACATCCCCGGGACCCCTGGATCTGCCCTGCAGCATCCCCGGCTTTGTCCCGGGACCCCCGAATTTGCCCTGCAGCATTCCTGGCATCTCCGTCGCTGCCTCCCGCCTCCCCGGCGCTCCCCCACGGCATCCCCGAGCCCCTCGGATCTGTCCTTTCATCCCTGGTGCTGACTCCTGCATCCCCGGCGCTGCCCTATGGCATCCCCGGGATCCCTGCATCTGCTCTGCAGCATCCCCGGCACCTCCGGCACTGCCTCCTGCAACCCCGACGCTGCCCCACGGCATCCCCGGATCTGTCCTTGCATCCCCGGCTCTGCCCTGGAATCCCCGGCTCTGCCCTGCAGCATCCCTGGCTCTGCCCTGGCACACCCAGCGCTGCTCCCCGGCATCCCCGGCACTGGCCCTTGCATCCCCAGCTCTGCCCCACAGCATCCTCAGGATCCGCGATTCTGCCCTTGCATCCCAAGTGTTCCCCGTACCGGGCAGTACATCCCTGGCCACCCCCTCGACATCGCCCCACAACATCCCCAGGACCCCCGATTCTGCCCTGGTTCTTCCCCACGGCATCCTCGGTCTCTGCCCTGTAATATCCCAAGCACTGCCCCACGGCATCTCCGGTACCCCTGACACCGGCTCTTACATCCCCAGCACTGCCCCATAGCATCCCTGCGACTCCCAGCTCTGCCTTGCACCCCCAGCACTGTCACCTGCCACCCCTGGCACTGCCCCACAGCATCCCCAACACTGCTCCCCCAGTATCCCCGGCATTGCCCTCTGCATCCCCAGAATCTCCATCTCTGCCCTACCTCAACTCCAGCACTGCCCCCCAGCAATCCTGAGAGCCCCCAGCTCTGCGACTGACAGCCGGCACTGCCACAAAACCACAGGCCCCCCCACTCCCTGCTCCAAACACCAGCACTGTTTCCCCCCAGCGCTGTCCCACAAGCTACCCCCATCTCGGGACTCCCCCCGGGGATTACCCTGCAGCATCCCTGGGGCTGCCCCTGGGACTGTCCCCAAGCATCCCTGGGGCTGCCCCCCAGTGCCCTCAGGACCCCCCGGAACTTCTCCTCAGTACCCCTGGGACTGCCCCCCTCTCATTCCCTATAAACAAGCCCCCGCTCTCCTCCCCATCATCACCAGGAACAGCGTCCCTAGCCCCCTAAACCTCTTTCCCTCCACATTTCTGCCTGCCTGCCGCAGAGACCCTATCAAAAGCCTCCAGCAATGCTGATCAACAAACACCCACCTCTACACTCCCCTGCTTTACTGTCCCCCCAGGACTCCATGAACCCGTGTCCTGCCCTCCCTTTACTGCCTGCTGCAGAGACCCCCATCAGCGTCTCCCTTGCTTCCACCAGGATCCAAATAAATGCCCCCCTCCCCCCCGTGCACCCTGATCTGTCACTGTCGATCCTCTCTGATGCTTTGTGGACCCTCAAGAATGGCTCCCACTTTTCCTGCAGCCCCCGATCCTGCCTGCTTGGGGGACCTCCATAGGCAAACGCCCCTCCTTGAGCTGCAGGGACAAGGGGAGTGGGGGGAAGAGCCCCCCCCTGCCCCAGCACAAATACACCCCAGCCCCGCAGAGGGGAGAGCCACTGCCTGCTCCACTGCCCCCCTTTGCGGTGGTGGAGGTTGGGTCTAACAGTCCCCTCCAGGGACAAGGTGGGGAGTGCGGGGGAGGGAAGGAATGGTTCTCCCTCCGTGGTGTATGGGGGTCTGGGTGCTCTCCCAGCGATGTTGGTGACAGATGGGGGGTGTCTGGTCAATCTCCCCCCAGAGTGGTGATGAGGGGTTACATATCGGTAGTGATGTTGGGGTAGGGAGGGGGTCTGTCCTCCATCCCCCAGGGTGATGGTGATGGGAGGCACCTGCCGAGCCCGTCATGTTGGAGCGGGTGTGTGTGTGTAGCCCCCTGATGGTGATGCTGATGGGGGTCCGTCCGGCCTCCCACCGGCGATGATGGTCGGGAGGGGGCTGCCCAGTGGGTGATGCTGAGAGGGGGCTCTCTGGAAGGTGGTGATGACAGGGGGGCTGTTCAGCCTTCCATGGTGATTCTGATGGTGGGGGTCCGTGCAGCCCGCCGTGCTGGTGGGGGACTGTCCGGCTCCCTCACCTGTGATGCCGGTGGTGGGGGTGGGTGTCCTGTGCAGCGGGCGATGCTGACGGGGGTCTGGCTGCCACCCCCGCCGAGCAGGCGGTGCTCCCCCCGCTGGGTCATTACCCATTCCAGTCCTGTTGCTCTCATCAGCGCCTGCCGCAGAGAGGAGGGGGGGGTCCTTCCTGGTCTATTCCTGCCCCCCCACTTCCCTAACCACCCATCCGGAGGCAGCCGGCTGGCTGCAGGGAGGGATGCTGCCCCTAACCAAGCTGGGCGAGGGAAGGGTGATTCCCCCCTCCTTGACCCTCATTGCACCCACCTGAACCCCCTTTGCTCCGCTCCCCAGCATCTGGGGGGCACACCTGGAGCCCGAGCGGGGTGAGAGCCGGGGGGGTGGGGGGGCCAGCGACTGACGCGTCCCCTCGCCCACGCGCCCCCCGCCTGTCCCCGCAGTGGTGATCGAGGATGACCGGATAGACGAGGTGCTCAAGGGCATGACGGAGAAGTCGCCGCCGGGGGTGTAAGCCGGGACCCGCCGCCAGGACCCGCCGGCCGAGCCCCGCTCCAGCCCGCCGCCCCGCATGCTGGCTGGACCGCCGACGAGGAGGGGGAGGCCATGCCCGCTGCCCCCCTCCCGGCCCGGGGGGGGGCCCTGCAGCCACCACCACCCCCCCCCCCGAGCCATGCACTTTACCCCTCCGCCCCCCCCCCGGGGCTGGGACAACCCGCCGAGCCTCCCACCCTGGGCGAGGACCCCCCTCTCCGGGGAAGGGGTCCAGCCCCCTGCTCCGCGGTGCGTCCCCCCCATCCTCCTTGGCGGAGGGTCCCCGAATCCCGGGGCGACCCGGCCCCACGAGCACTGGGGGAGCGCTGCTGTCCAGAGACATTTTTTGCTCCATCGTTTTTTGCATGAGCTTGGTGGCCCGGGCGGCCGGCCCGGGGGCCGAGGGTCAGCCCCACCACTCCGGCACGCTTCTTTTTAAACAGAAACTCCTCATATTTGTATTTTTATATCCGAATCTTTGTTAAAAACGATCTGCTGACGTTGAGATGTTGAAGTAACCGCATCAGGAAAACAAACAAAAACAAACAAAACAAACAACAACAAAAAAAGGTTCATATTTTTTTCCATAAGAAAAAAAAAGACAAAAAAAGAAGAAAAAACCGAAGGGAAGAAATAGATGGGGGGCCAGAGTGATGGAGGGAGCACGAGGAAAGCCAAAGGAGCAGGGAGGAGAGCAGGGACCCCTGGCCTGACCCCCTGCCAGCAGCAGGAGCACCGGAGGGGTTGGCAGCACCACCAACCGCTGTAGTCCCCTCCAGGCAGCACCGGGGCAGAGCCCACCGGAGCCGGCTGCAGGTGCTGGGGGTCCCAGCACTGCCCCTCGCTTGAGGATGGTGGGGCCGGGAGGGAAGTGGGGAGGGCAGGGACTGTCCTGAGTCGTTGTTTTTAATTTTGTACTTTAATTTAATTTTATTTTTTAAGAAGCTTCTCGGGGGGTTCTGATGTGCATGAGAAACTCATCATCTTTTTCAATAACCTACGAGTGGCATTTATGGAGACAACGACGCAAAAAAAGGAAAAAAAAACCACAACAAAAAAAAACTAACAAAAAAACTGAGGAAAAAAAACACAAAAAAAAGAAAAAAAGAAAAAAAAAGATACTTGTGTCATGATGTTCTACGAATGATCCATTGTAAATTTAAATGCCATTTTTCACTGTACTGGTGAACAAAATGCGATGAATAAAATACATTCATGTACCAAGGTGAGGCCAGCAGCTTCCTGCTCCTTTTTGTCCCTCTGTGTTGCCAGCTGTTTTTCGGGGTGCCTGCAGCACGGGTGGGGGTGGTGAGGTGTTGACCCCAGAGCCCTTCACTGGTTCCTGGTGCGGGGGGAGCCACCAGCTGAGGCACTTAAACCTTTGTGCAGAAACAGCAACCCAGCAGCTCGTGCCTCTGTGGTCTGTCACCGCTGCCCCACCGAGGAGGGCTCCCCTGTGCCCCCTTCAGGGAGCATTGGTGCCCAGAGAGCCCCTGGTGACAACCCTGGCAGCACCCATATACCTGCCACACCGGCACCCACGCGCAGCCAGCCCTGCCAGCACACGGCTGCACGCCTGTCACACGTCTGTCACTGCGCTGCCGGCCCCAAGGCACGGGCAGATGTGGGCCAGGCGTGTGCAGGCACATTGGGGTTGCCACCACAGCCAAAGAGTGGGGATGGAAGGGGTACAGGGGCAGATGTGCCGCCCTGTGTGCCCCGTGGTGCTCTCTGCCCTATGCTGGCACATCCCATCCTAGACCCTCCACCACCTGGCTGGGGGTGACAAGGACACAGTGTCCTTGCACACCCCCAGAGCCAAGGAGGCTGGGGCAGGAGTCCTGGTGCTCGATGGGGTGGGGGTGTTAAGCAGGGGCCACCTCCCTGTACCCAGTGCCAGCATCCCCATTCTGCCCTCAGCCCAGCTGCCTGTGCCGAGGGAAAGGGATGGGGGGGCAGGGAGCCACTCCCCGCAAGATGGATGGGTGGAATTAAACCCGATTTGGTTTCATTACCGGCCGCAAAGCCCGGAGTCCTGGCTGCTCTCCAGCCAGGCGAGGAAAGGCCAGGGAGGGAGCACAGCATCACCGGAGCATCCCGCTGCCCCCCGGGAGGAGGCCAAGTATCCCCCCATTACTCACATCACTGGGCAGCTTTCGGGGGAGGATACACTGGTTCCCCATCCCCCACCCGTGAAGATGGAGCAGCTTAAGGCTTTGTTGGGTGTGGGGAGGTCGGGGAAGCCCCCCAGGGTCACAGCTGGATGGCAAGGAGGTAGTCCTCGTCGTCGTCTGGGGGGGCGGAGGGCGGTGGTGGGGCAGGGGGCGGGGGGGGCTGGTGCAGGCGGCGCCCCAAGGCCACATCACGGGGGTCCAGGGGCTGCCCCTTGCGCATGATGTAGAGGAAGTAGTGGAAGGCGCCGGCGTCCCCGTCCCCGCAGGCGGTGTGGCGCAGGGACCAGCCAAAGGCCTCCTGGGCATAGTGGGGCTTGCGGAAGTGGGGCTGGGCGAAGGTGATGGAGAGGAAGCAGCCCCCAGGGCGCAGCACCCGGCTCACCTGTGGTGGAAGAACCCCCAGGATGGGGTGTGGGGACACAGTGAGGTTCGCCCCCTTGGCTCCAATTCCAGGGACTTCCAGCATCATCTGCTAAAGATCCCCCCCTCAAACTCTCCCATTGCACCCCCAAATCTGCTGTCTTAACCTTGACCGTCCAAGAGACACATCCCCAGTTCTGACCTTCCCCTAGATCACCCACAGCCCCGTGGCAATAAGGAACGGGGTTCCCATGCCCCAAAACTCTTCACCCCTACCCACAGAAGACAGCATGGAAAGCCAACCCTGTCACAGGTAAAAGCTTTACCCTCCTGGGCACAGGGGCCCCTCAGCACAGCATGGGATGCCCATCCCACCCACCCCTTTCTGAGGCACCCAGTACCACCCCCCCGCCGATACCCAGAATCTGAGGGGGGAGGGCAAGGGGTGTTTGATGGGAAAGGATTCAACCCTTTTAATCACCATTTTCTCCCTGCTGGAATTAAGCCCCGCTAACAGGATGGAAAAGAACATCAATTTTCTTGCTTGGCTTTATCCAATGTCAAAAGGCTTTTACGGCCAGCGCCCGCGTGCTCTGCATGCAAAGGCACTGCCCGAGGCGGGCGGGTGGCCAGGTCCCCCCCCGGCCACCATGCCCCAGGCGGGGACACCCCCAGACCCCCCCGACAAGGGCAGAGAGTCACCGCTGCAGGGGAGAGGGCTGGGGGCCAAGAGGGGGGTTTCCCAAGCTCTGTTTTAATCCTGCTGGAAAGCTCCACAGCTCAGCACTGGCTGGGGCCAGGGACAGAGGGGACAGGCAGCCTGCGTGTCCTCCCCTGCTGCAGCAGTGGATTTTGTACTAAACCTTGGTGGTTTTGGCCAGGAAAAGGGGAAGGCAGGTCCCTGCATCCCTCCCCGGGCACCCAGCTCAGCATCCCTCCTGGGAAGTGCCTGAAAATCTGCCCTGGGAAGACCCCAGAGCTTTCCAACCAACGGGCGGGGGAGGGGGGTCCCCGGGGCTGGGGGTAGGCAGGGATCTCCGGCTGGAGCCGAGCAAGGCATCCCGCATGTCCGCATCCCATCCCTCATTAATAGAGCAATAACTGCCGTTGCTTAGAGACGGGAACAGGAAACCTTTCCATCCGCCAGCCAGAGCCTGGGGGGGGAATGGGGGCTGCGGGGGCTGCTCCCCGCTCCGGTGCCCGCCACACTTGCTGCCCCCGGATTGCCGGGATGGGGTGTCCCTGGGGAGTCCCCACAGGCAGGGTGGATTTTCAGGTCCTTACATCCCCTCCCCAGGGAGAGCAAGAGCAAGACAGAAGCTGTGAACCCCCCACAAGAAACGGGATGGGGGCGGAAAGGGAGATGCCACGGCCAGACCCCTTTGAAGGGACCCCCAAAGCAGTGAGCCGGTGGGAACACCCAGTGAATCCCCCAGGGATGAGGACAGCAGGGACCAGCCGCGGGTGGAGGCTTGTACCCAGCGATGCTGGGGGAGGGCAGGGATTGAGCAGGGGATTAAAAAGGGAAAAAAAAAAAAGGGAAAATTAAATCCCTGCCGTTTGGCAAAATGACAAGGACAGGCAGCAGAGCTGGCAGGGAGTGCAGGGCATGGATGGTGAGCACAGCCCTGCTGCCCTGCTGGGGGTCCCACTCCCTCCCAGGCTCAGTGAGACAAGAAAGGATGAGGGGGTGTCAACAGCCATGAGCACCCTCCCAGCACCCCGTGTCCGCACCCCAGGGTGCCAGGCAGGCACAGCAATTCATTATCCTGCTGGTTCTTCCCGCAGGGTGGGGGAGGTTGTCAGGACCTGCACCCCAGTGCAGGGGCAGGTTCAATCCGGTCCCTGTCTCCACCGCTGCCAATTAACGGGGCCCCGAGGCATCGCCCGTCCCCGTGGCAACGCCATGGCCCTGTCGATGCTGACGGGAGTTGCCATGGCAACCCCAGACCAGATGATGGGGACCCCAGCTAAGGAGATCGAAGCTGGGGCGGGGTGAGAGCTCGTCACAGCCCCACGGTTGTCACCTTGCCCTGGGCAGGCAGGGCCACCTCGGCTTGTCCCCCCAGGTCCCCTGCTGCCACCCACGCTTGGCTGGAGCTCATTTTCCCTGCCAACTCTTCATACTTAAGGTGCAAATAAAGACAGGGGCTATCCACTCCCGCAACAGGACCTGCCCCATCCACCTCCCTGCGGAGGAGGTGCTGGGGGATGAGAGTGGGGGTCTCCCAACCCTCAGGGGTGCTGGGAGCCCCCCAGGTGTCCCCCTGCAGCATAGCTGAGGGGGCTGCACCAGTTGGCAGAGCAGAACCACTGGCTGGGGCATCCACAGGGAAACAGGGCTGCAAGAAGGCACTCTGAACCTTTCCAAACCCCAAAGACCACCCTCTGCCCCCCTGTTCAGCTCCCCCTACTCCATACCTCCTCCAGCACCCGGCGCATCGAGGCAGCTGCCTGGGGCGAGACATCCCAGGGGTCGGTTTCCTCCACCATGAGCACGTCGAGGGTGCCCTTCTCCAGCACCACATCGAAGGAGGCGTCCGGGAAGGCGAGGGCACGGATGTCCATGACGGCCCAGCGCAGGCCGGGGCAGCAGCGGGCGCAGCGGGCACGCATGGCGGCGATGCAGGCGGGGGAGAAGTCGATGCTGGTGACGTCGGTGTAGCCCAGCTTGTGCAGGTCATGGCTCAGGGCACTGTTGCCACAGCCTGTGGGGGGCACAGCTCACCATGGGGATGGGGATGCCCGTGGAGGGGGGATGGCACCCCAATTCTATTCCTCTGGACCCAGGGAAGGGCGGGGGTGGGCTGGGGCTGCTGGAGAGGGGCAGGTCATTGCTTTGATGCCAGTTAGTGAGTGTTGGGATATTTATTAATTATTACCCCCGTCCTGTAAAATGGGTGCTTTGGGCTCCTGTCCCGGGGCAGCCTTGCACACTGGATCCCCACACCTTGGGGTGGGATGGATGGAGAGGCTGGAGGCAGGGAGGGGGTGGGGGGCGCTCCCGGTCCTCCCCCCAGCAGTGCCGCGGGGCAGGAGTCAGCCATGCTCTCTAAGAAAGAAGCTGCTGAGAAATTGCAGTAGGAAAGTAGGGGAACGTGCAGTTTCGGAGGGGGGATTTAACCTGGATGGACGGACAGAGGGATGGAGGAACTGCTGTCTCAGGGAACAGCACCTTGTATAGCACGACACTGTGAGAGGCCCCCTCCCATGCCCTACTCTCAGAGCCGCTCCGCCGAGGCTCGACCGCTCCTCGGGGTGACAGGGGGGATTCCGGGGGGGGGGCGCGGATTTGGGAGCTATTAAGCGCAGCTGGCAGCGGCTGATCCGCTAACAGGATCGGTGATTACACCCGCCTAATCCCGCCGGCCCGGCGGCGGATCAGCCTGCAGGTGGGATTACGGGGCGGTTATACCCGCCCTGCCGCTCGCCCGCCCGCCCGCACCCCCGGCCGCGGCCGGGCCGGGAGCAGCTCCCGCTGCCGGCTCGGTGCCGTGCCGCACCGCCCCCTGGCGGACAGCGCATCCACAGGCGGGACCCCGCGCTCCGCCCGCCCTCCACCGGGCACGCCGGGCACGGGGCACGTACCGAGCACGAGGATACGGTCACCGGGGCGCAGCTCGGGCTCCAGCTGCGGGAGGAACCGCGAGAGGCCCCCCAGCCACTCGCGGGTCTCGGCGCCCTCCCGCCGGTACAGCGCGTCCCAGAAGCGGCGCCGGCCGTACCGGGGGGCGGCGGGGGGCGCGCGCCGCCGCTCCATGCGCGGGAGCGGGGCGGGAGCACCGGGAGCCACGTGCGGCTTCCGGCCCGCGCCGAGTGCGCCGCGCTCAGCGCTCCGGGCGGAAACGCGGGGCGGCAATGGCGGCGGGGCGGGGGGCGGCGGCGCTGCGGCGGGCATGGCAGGAGCGGCGGGCGGCGCTGCTGGAGCCCCGCTACACTCCGCTGGTGGCCGCCTGCCTGTGCCTGGCCGAGGGCGGCGTCAACCTCTGGGTCATCCGCAGGGTGCCGTGTGAGTGCCGCGGCCCGGGCCGGCGCGGCGCTGGCCCCGCGGGGGGCGAGGGGTCCGGTCCGGGACAGTGCGGGGCGGTGCGGGGGCAGTGACAGTGACAGTGACAGCTCGGCCCCGGGGGGGCGGCGAGGAGGGGCTGGCCCTGAGGCGGGGATCCCGCGGGTTGGGGGACAGGGCCGCTCCGGCCCCGGCGGGGGACAAGCATCCTCCTGGCAGGGGGGCGTGTTGGGGGTCCTGGGTGGGAGGGGGGGGCGTGCAGAGGTGGACTGGGGGTCCTGGACGGGGATGGGGTGGCCAAAGGGGTGAGAAGGGGGCCTTGGATTGGGCCAGGGGTTTTGGAAGGGATGGGAGGGATGCAGGGGTGGGCTGGGGGTCCTGGAGGGGTCAGAGAGGGACACAGGGTTGGGATGGGGGTCCTGGATGAGCCCAGCAACGCACTCAGGGGTGGGCTGGGGGGCTCTGGGTAGGATGGCGGGGGGATGCAGGGTTGGGCTGGGGGTCCAGCAACACACACAGGGGTCATCCCCCTGGATGGGGCTGGGGCCAGGGGAGCAGAGCCAGGGCTGGCAGTATGGCAGGGAGGCACAGGGCCAGGTTGGTGGGTCTGGAGGTGGATAAGCCCCTACATGCCCCGCAGTGCTCCCCGGCCTCCCTTGCCCCACCTGACCCCCTCTCCGTCTCCACAGACACTGAGATCGACTGGAAGGCCTACATGCAGGAGGTGGAGGGTTTCGCCAACGGGACCCTGGACTACACCCAGCTGAAGGGTGACACGGGGCCGCTGGTGTGAGTGACGAACACCCAGCTCCCTGGGACTGGTGGCTCCCAGAGGGGCCGCAGGGCCCGGCCCCTCACTCCCATCTTCCCACAGTTACCCCGCCGGCTTCGTTTACATCTTCCTCGGGCTTTACCATGCCACTGGCCGCGGCTCCGACATCCGCCTGGCGCAGTATCTCTTCGCTGCCCTCTACCTGCTCAACCTCCTCCTTGTCTTCCGCATCTACTGCCGAACCAACAAGGTACCCTGGGGCCAGGGCCCGTGCTGGCCATCTCAGGGCCTGCCCTGCACTGCTGAGTCCTCACTCCAGCAACACGGGCAGGGATCTCAGGTTTGGAGGGGATCACAGGCAGCAGGGGCTCAGTGACAGGCTGCTGACCCTTGTGTGTCTCTGCCTCCTGCCAGGTCCCCCCATACGTTTTCTTCTTCATGTGCTGTGCCTCATACCGCATCCACTCCATCTTTGTGCTGCGGCTCTTCAACGATCCCGTGGCCATGGCCATCCTCTTCCTCGCCATCAACCTCTTCCTGGAGGAGCGCTGGTCCTGGGGTTGCCTCCTCTTCAGGTAAGGGGCTGGGGACCTGAGCCAGCTGGGGCCTGGGGAGGAGGCTGTGCTGGGCTCAGGGGCTGCCCAGGCTCCTTTGTGGGGTCCAAAGTGGTAATGCAGCTTCCCACTCAGCCTGGCTGTGTCCGTGAAGATGAACATTCTGCTCTTCGCACCTGGACTCCTCTTCCTCCTCCTGCGCCGCTTCGGTCTCCTGGGCTGTATACCCAAGCTCTGCATCTGTGCCCTGCTCCAGGTGGGTCCCTGCTTGCAGTGGCTGCAGGAGCAAGGAATGGTGGGCTGCCTGGCTCTGTCACAGCGTCCTGCCAGGCTGGAGAGCCATGGGTGGGTACAGTGGCACCAGCAGCTGTGCTGCCCCCATGCAACAGGCTGGAGGTTGATAAATAATCTAATTCACGGGGCTTTCATCTTTGGATGAGTGTCCCTGTCGCCCCTCATAGCATTGAGGAGGAGACAGGGTGACAGAGGTGGCGTACGGCTGCTGCTATGGTGCTGGTATCTCCCTGGCAGGTGGTTCTAGGGCTGCCCTTCCTCCTGGTAAACCCTATAGGGTACCTGACTCGCTCCTTCGACCTGGGCCGCCAGTTCCAGTTCAAATGGACGGTGAACTGGCGCTTCCTCCCAGAAGAGGTTTTCCAGAATCGGGCTTTCCATGCTGCGCTGCTCCTGGCTCACCTGGCTGGCCTGGGGCTCTTCGCACTGCACCGGTGGCACAGGTGAGACCTGGGGTTCCCCTTGGGTGCTGGTCTCTGCCAGTCCCCATAGCACAGGATACAGATCCGTGACTCGCCTTCCCCCCTAGTGCTCCACTCCTGGAGTTGTGGGTGGGAGTGGGTGGGTGTTACTGTTTTGTTTTGGGGAGCATGCTGCCCAAACATCGTGGCTCGCAGGGGAGGGTTGAGGTGGAAGAGACTTTCAGCAGCTGAGACTGATGTTTGTGCTTCTCCCTCAGTTCCAAAGACAGCATCCTGACTTTGCTGAAGGATCCTGCCAAAAGGAAACCCCCATCCCCTTCCTTGACGGTCAACGATATCCTTTGGCAGGGTGGGCAGCAAGGGCAGGGAGAATGCAGGGAGGACCTCGGTCAAGCTCCAGGTCCTGCAGTGATGCCAGGATCAGCCTGTCCTGGGGGAAGGAGCTGTGCTGGATAGCTGGGCAGCTGTTGTGGGATCACACCTCCAGCCTCTGATGTTTGCCCCCTTAATGCCAGTGCACAGATTGTCTTCATCCTCTTCTCCTCCAACTTCCTGGGTGTCTGTTGCAGCCGCTCCCTGCACTACCAGTTTTACGTCTGGTATTTCCACACACTGCCCTACTTACTCTGGTGCACCTCAACCAGCAAGCTCGCCCACATGCCCAAGTATGTGCTGCCAGGGAGGGGAAGCACCCGGCTGCTGGGGGTCTGGGAGCAAGGGGGGCTCGTGTGTGTCTCCCATGCAGACCCCCAGCTTTATCCCCTGCAGGGTGCTGCTCCTTGGTGTGATCGAACTCTGCTGGAACACCTACCCCTCCACAGTCTGCAGCTCCCTCTCCCTCCACATCTGCCATGGACTCATCCTGCTCCAGCTCTGGTACGGAACGGCCCCCACGCCGGTGTCACACACCCCCACACCGAGCAGGAAACGCACAGCCACGTCCAAGAAAGCCCAGTGAGAGTGTGGAAGGCCAGACGGTGGGAAGTGGCCTCTGGGACTGCCACTTCTGCCTGCTCTTTCCCCACCTGGCTCTCAGGCTGCCCACAGCCATCCCAGGAGAGCCATAAGCCCTGGAACTGTGCAAAGGGGGGTGGTGTGGGGACCCCCAAAAGGCAGGACTTCCGCAATAAAGGGGGCTTTTATGTGCCCTTCCCCAACGTCCTTGTGCTGTGATGGTGTCAGAACAGCTGTCCTTGGACCTGACGCACCTGGGGGAAGGCAGAACAGCTGCTGGTGCCACAGGCACTCCCTTCCTAGCCCAGGGAGAGGGGTGCCCAAGGCAGGCGAGCAGCCTCTGGGATGGGGTTAAAACAGAGGATCTGCAAAACAGCTTTGCCTCAAGGTTTGAATTGCCTTGATGGAGCCCAGGGATCCCTCCAGGACAACTTTTCCTGTTTCCCCATCTACTCCCTTCCACGGTAGATGACTGGGAAGGCAGTGATCCCCTCCCAGGATTCTAGTGAGCCCTGGTGTGGCCTGAATGGAGCTGACGGCTTGCTGCCCATAAGAGAGACGCCAGTACAGATGGCTCGGAGCCAGGTGTTTTTATTGGCCCCGCGGGTGGCTGTCAGACGTTGTTGGGGTTGTAGCACAGCATGTTCAGCTTGATGTTCTCATCCCAGTGACGCAGCAGCAGGAACAAGTGCCTGGCTGCCCCTTTGAGGCAGCCCACGTCCACCCCCTCGGGCAGCTGCTGCGCCTGCAGCCACGCATCTGCCTTGGCCGCCACCAGCTCCCACTCCTCAAAGAATCCAGCACAGCGATGTTCCAGCCACGCCAAGGCCACCGCTGTGGCCCAGCTGGCACTCTCCAGGTCCTCCGGTGCCATGTCCTGACAGCTCACACCAGCCTCGGAGGGGGCAGCTGAGTGGGGGCAGGTGTCGGACTCAGAGCCGTGCCCGCTGTCCGCCTGCGCCCATACGGCTGCGCTGGGCACCTCGGAGCAAGTGCTCCGGGATGGGGGCGAGCTGGGCTGCGGGTCTGTGGTGGGCTCCTCGCCCTCCTCGCCAACGGACCCTGCCCTGGGGCTGCTCCTGGCCCCTGGGGACACAGGGCTGAGGCTGGCACGGTGGGAGGCGTAGGGGGAGGCCCGGCGCAGGCGGTCCAGAGGGATCTGCACCACTTCGGAGAAGCTCTCGGTGAGCTGGAACGGCCCCATGGCTTGTTGCAGCTGCACCTGCAAAGGGGAGGCATGGCTGCAGGAGTGTCCCTGGGGCACAGGGACGATCTAGTGGCCCCTAAAACGCCAGCCAAGATCCTCAGAGACATTCAAGGATGCAGCAGGGCTGAGCAGGCACCTACCAGGATTGCATCTTCTGCTGTTGGTGCTGCTGGGCATGACCTGGGCAGCTTGGCTGGCACCCAGCAGGGAAGGTCCCCCTGGTGGGATGGGGATAGGGACTGGGATGGGGTCCTTACCAGTGGGAGGTAGTCATGGATCGCATGGTTGCTGGAGCGCTCGCTTTCTGGGCTGAGGCACTGTGGGCGCAGCGCCAGGCTGGGACCCCTGCGCCTGCTCAGGCTAAACCTGTGGGGCAACAGGCAAGGTAACAGGGTGGGGGGAAGTTCCCAAAGGGCAGCTGGACCCCAGCCTGCTGCAGGGAAGGGGCTGGAGCCCCAAATCCCCCACTTATGCTGCAGGAGCTGGCAGAGGACATTTGACCAGCAGCACCCAAAAAGTGGCATTGTTCCCCTCTCCCCACAACATGCCATTTTTTGGTC